TTGATGTTGAACACAGTTTCCTTCCATGTTCCAACAAGGTTTCAAAAGCACTTACTTTGCCAGAAGCCATTAGTAATTATTAGTGATATACTGAGCCGCGAGCGGCACGGTGTGTGCTAGCAATTTATGTGAAAAACACCACCAGAGTGTGAGGATCTGAATAGAGATGAGAAAAAAAAATGAAAAGAAAGAAAGAGAGAGAGGGAGGGAGAACAGAGCCCACACTTGCTTTTAAGTTAGTGAGAGTTTCCATCTTTCATAAGGTTTGCCTACTTTTGCCAGAAGCGATAACTTCAACTGCCAGTTCACGCAATGTGTGAAGGAGCTTGACGTCAGATTCAGCTCAACACTCAGTATGGGCAACGTTTGCTCATTAGATCATTAACTTAACACAACATCACATGATTTTAGGGGGAACTCCACCAAATGTACACATCAAAGTGTGTTTATAGGTGTTGGGGAGGACTACTGCATCTGAAAAAAAGCCATATGAAGCCTTTTGCGGCTCCAGAGGGAGCTAAACGAAGTCTGATAAATTGCCTCAAGTGAAGTTGCTTGAGGCGATGTTGGTTGAAGACTAAGAGTTTGAAAGTGAAAAAAAATCTGACAGAAGTGAGGTTACCAGACCTCTGCAGTCAGCTTCTCATCTATGCTTGAGGCTAGCCTCTCAAAGCTACATTAGCTGCTACTAGGCAGTGTGCTACTACCAGTGTTGGGCAAGTTACTTCCAAAAATATAATACATTATAGATTACTAGTTCCTGTCATTTGAGAGTAGTTAGTTATTTTACAATATTACCGTCTCTGAATTGTAATGCGTTACACTACTTTTGCGCACTCTTGAGTTACTTTCACTGCTATTTAATAGGCCTATTATTTTGATAGTAAGATGTGCCTGAATAGGTGGATTCTAGTGATGTGAAGGTATCCACGGATCGGGAGGGTCTTTGTCATAAAAATTAACCTTCTGATTAACGAATACTAATTCGTCAAAGCACAAACACGTAGCCTATAGAAATCTATTTACGCACGATCCATCAGGGGAGCTACTCTTTTACTCATGGATTTGTTTTCGAGCCCCCTTATGTCGTCACGATACGACTAGATGCGCTGAAGAAAAACGCTCTCTCTATCACAGCACAATGGAGTTCACGTTTAATTTCTCTGCTTGGACACCGTTGGCGATCACACTAAAAGCGTACGGTGCCCATGTCCAATGTAACCATGCCTGAGCCCACCTCTTCAAGTGGGTCCGAGCACAGTTCAGCACACTGTGTCCGGGCACGATATGGAACGATCACATTAGCAAAACGAACTGGACTTTGGGGGTTAAATGTGCTCGGGCACGGTAAGGATTGCCTAGTACGAGCACGCCTTTCACTTTTTTATTGGCTGCCTCACTCTGATTAGTTTCACCTGTGTCTAGTTATCCTCCCCTTACTTGTGTATTAAAGCTGTGTTTTCCTTTGTGTCATGGCCAGTTCGTCTTCATCCATGTGTCAAGCACTCCAGCCTTCCCTAGGGTTTTCGTGGTGTTTGGATTTGTACTTTTTTTTTAGTACACCTTGTCTGTTTTGCAGATGTTTTGATTTTGCCTGTTATCTCACTGGATTTGTTTGCTTGTGATGGACTACTCTCTAGTTTTGACCCTTGCCTTCCTCACCTTCGCGTAAGCCTGTGTACCTCCATTTTCTGTCATTAAATATCATTAAACTGCACCTGCTCTGCCCCAGAGTGTGCATATGGGCTCAATCCCATTGTTTTTCTGTTCCCCACTTGAACAAACTGTGACAACCTTTAAATTTTTATACTTTTCTCTTGTAAAAACCTACTTTGCCTCACTGTGATGTTTAATTAATTCTCATATATACATTAGAAATCAGGCCACCTTTAATTTTGTGATATATGCAGAAGCATTTCTGCAGCTTCCTTAGGTGAAAATTAAGCATGAAGCAAAGGTCTGAGATACCTTGATAAGATACTGTGACACATTCTTTGAAGAAACTTCAGCAGCCAAAATATGACCCCAGTTTGCTTACATCCAAGCAGCAACATTGTTATCTAACCAGTGCACCCTAGATGGGAAGAGCAAACAGATAAATGAGGAGACTCTCAGGGACGATAGCAGAAGGGAGGCTGAAGATGAGATGGATGAGTGCAGGGAGGAGGGGGGGAATAAATGAAACATCTACTGCTGCTTCAAAGGGAATGGAGAGATAGAAGATGAAGAAGGAGAACGTGGTTTCAATGTTAGATGTAGAAAGAGAGACAGATTGCCAGAATGATCAATTAGGGGATCAAACGTATGCTGGATGTCAGGGTGTGAGGAGGGACAGGGGGATGAAGGCGTGCTGGAGGGGTGGGGAGGGCTAATCTGAAAGAAGGAAGGACTTTAGAGATGGAGATTCACAGAGAGGAAATCAAATAGAGATTTGAGAATTCACTGACAACTAAAACCTAAGCACACCCGGGATCGCACTTTGAAGTGTCACCACCCATTACTCGATGAATTTGTTTCTCTGACAGTCTGATCGAGCTCGCGCTGCATGTGACCACACATACTGTGGTCACATGCAGCTGTCTAGACTTGAGGGGAAATTGGTTTAGGAAAGCAGGATGGACAGTGGAGTTCTGCCTTCAATTGGTTTCATTTCCCATTAGCAGGGAGGGTAGAGAGGGGAAGCAAGTAACCGTGTCGTGTCTCTGGTCTTAAATCAATTCTTCTATTGGCCCCTGGCCCCCAAGGTTCCCGCTCAGTCTGTCGGGAGCCAATTATGAGCAAACACAGAATTTAGTGGAGTTGCTGCCAAATGCATGATTGCCGTGAGAAAAGTCACGTCAAAGACAGTTCTTCACCATCATCATCATTGTGCTCTTTCATGTTGTTAACTGGCCACATTAGCAATAAAGATAAGGCAAAACATGCAATTCAGTTATTGTGCAGGATCTGCGTTTGGGTTTTGAATTCTTATCCACCTGCTAAAGTAATTTCAGTATGGTCAACACCAGAAAGACAAAGTCACAAAGCCTGCCTGCCACCAACACAATGACCCAGATAGAAGACAAGAGACTATGGTTAATGATCAACGAGACAAGACAAACCCCTCTGTGTGTTTGTGTGTGTGTGTCTGTGAGAGAGATTGCACACAAGCACACATCTCACGTAAAACTGCAAAAAAAATTTAGATATTTTCTCTTAAAATCTAAAACAAAAAACAGCCAGTTCACAGACACCGTCAGACAAATTGCTTTGCTCTGTGCATACAAATAATATTATGCAATTAATGTCATTTTGTCATGTCTGCCAAGTCAAAGACTAATGAATAAAAAATTTGTTCCTCAAGTGTGTGCATGCACAATTATACTTACATTACTGGTCTCTCCAACTATTTAATATATTATGCTTCTCCTCTGCTGGACTGCACTGCTGATAAAAAAGCAACGGCTCTCGTGAGATGCTGTGGCAGAATAAGCAGCCAGATGCCCGTTAGACAGGCATCCAGCAGACCTATGCTTGAAGTGAGGGACTGTGTCCCCACTTGGGGCTCCTCCTCACTTTATGCCCCTGCCTTTGCTACAAAGGCAGAGAGGGAGGGATGGCGAGAGAGAAAATTGCCTTTTATTGCCCGTATCTTTTGGCAAATAGCATAGCCCCCCACCTCCTCTTCCAAACTGTCTAACAATGCTACACCTTCTCTGGACTGCCTGCTCAGTGCCCTAGCCAACAAACTATACCCACATGTACCGTGTGGTGGGAAAGGTGACTGTCCGCTGCGCTGCACACCCACTGAAGCCCATTGTTAACTCCTCCACCAGGCCACATCCGCCTCTCTGCTAGCTCAGAGGCAAACACACAGGAACGAGCTGGCAACAAAAACAGATGCAATCACACCCGCATTTTCACATCTCTACTTCTGTCTCTTTCCATACACAAAGGCAGAAAGAGCCGAAATATGCAGTTTCTGAGCATAACCATCCTGTTGACAGAGAAGATGAGAATCATTTATTACAGCACATGATTGATTCACTCTCACCATCCCCTTTCTTCTGGCTCATAAAAAGACAAAATATATGTTCAGTTCAAAGTCCAAACCTCCAGGCAGCTCCTCCCTAGAGTCTGAAAATGTTTTCTGTATCAACATAGCTTCTCCTTTCCAGTGCCAGGCCACCCCATGACGATCTCAGGTTTGGACTGATAAGCTCCCAAAGGAGAACCACTGCGTTTAAGGCCAGAGGTGAATTAAACCAGAGCTGATTGTCTTATTGGAGGTCACAGGGTTAATGGTCAGTGTGAGGACTACCACCTGGATGAGTGGAGGTCATCCTAAACATCAGACATTTTACTGAACGATTCATCAGGGTTGCTGCAGTTTTAAAGCTTGACATGCCAAGAATAATTACTTTTGCTGAACTTGTGATGTTTGTGTGTGATTTTGTGAATGGGGTACCATGTTAAAACTATGAGTTTAACAGACGATGAAGACAGACAACTTAACCAAACCCATACATACAGTGTTGGAGTAATTGACCATCACTCTGGGTAAGGATTGGAAAGGATGACGAGCAGGATGGAAGAAATAAAAGTCTATTTTGAAGATTTATTAAGTGAACATAAAAGTGTGAAAGCAATATTCTTGGCAGATATCAGGTCCCATATTTAGCAAGACGATGAACAGCACAGTTTGCATTGAGTCTAGACTGTGACTGTCAGGATATTTCAGATATGCAGTCTAAATGTCACAATGTGCCCGCCACACAAACGTGCCGAGACCCGGAGCGCAACGTTACACCTAAAATGCGCTTCCCAGCAGTCCGTGGCCAGCGTCCAGAGCTGCCGTGCCCGCCTCACACTGAGACTTGTAGACGCCAACCCACCGAGTGAGTGGCAGACAGACACACAGACCGACAGCTGGAAATATCCGCTGCAATATTATTATAGGCGCTTATTTTGGAGTAGGCTATAGTGCGCGGAGTGCAAACGCGGAGTTTGTCGGTACTTACCTAAAAAGACTCGGTAGGTGTGCTTTGACAGCAGTCCGAAGTTTCAGATGAAGTGTATATTAGACGAAGTAAAGCGGTGTTTTTGCCTTCAACAACAAACGTACACTGAATAATCCAAAAGGTGCTCTGGAGCAGCTGTTGCGCTCAGTGAACGACCACTGTCAAAACTCAGAAAACAACAAAATATGCGAAACTGATTTTACACCCGCAGCCTGACTTTCACTTGACACTCTTGGGATGAATAGTTTAAATAATGAGAGAAAATGTTTTTTAAAGGTGTGAGAGACCGTCCAGGGTCCCGGCGCTTCTGCCCCTCTCTGAATATGAGCCCCGGCTACGTTTCTCCAACCTCAGTCCGGGCTCTGCAGCCGGGCCAGCAGGCGCCACCAGGTGCTCATTTACATAACTGCACCGGCTGTGTCCAATCACAGCTCCGAGCAAGGTGTCTGATTGAATATTCCAGTAGGCACCCCATCCAATCAGAGCTCCCCGTGGGCGGGAGCTGTGACCTTAACAACACAGCCTGGTAGAATGATATTCATTGTGAAGCCTTTGGGGGTAATGGGAGTTTCTTTGTTACAACAACGCTGAGATTTGGGGAATATGATATATGAGACAGCAGCACGCAGAGTGCTTTCACCTTGTTAACCCTTTGCATGTAAGAAAATGTTGCCCTGCTGTTTTAAAACGAATACTTTGATAACGCGAACTGGTATAGTCCTTGAATTGTCTGTTCTGCCTCTCAGCATCTGGCTTGGGACATTTAATGTAGACCCCATGACACCCTGCCTTGGTATTTACCTCTAAAGGAAACTTTATTACAGAGTATTGGTGGCATAACTGTATACCATTACTGCCCTGGGGCTATAATGACTCAGATTGAAGGGTTTGCAGTAAAACACAGTAATGGAGCTGCTGCCAGGAGAGTTGTTGATATGGGACTCTGAGGCAGGACAAGAGTGAGATGGGAATTTGCGTTTTAAAAGAACCACATGTGTGTATGTTTGTACTAAATTACATAAAAAAGTTGTGAGATAAAGACAGACTTAAAAAAGGCTGTGCAGCAGATACAGTATGTGCTGGTACTTGCCTGTCTGACTGAGAGGAGGGAAACTTTTGCTGGCGCTCAATCATCAGCGAAGGACAATACAGGTCATTTAACACGCTCTGAGCTCCACCTTGGATAAACACGGAGGAGAACACTGAGACACTCTCTGCTGCCAAATGTTCAGTTTTCTGTGTGTGTGTGTGTGTGTGTGTGTGTGTGTTTCCACTTGAATTATGCACATATTATATGATGAATGTTTTGAAATTAGACAATTTTGTCAGTAAGTGAAATGTTTTTGACTCAAATAAAGTCAGCAAAGTGCCATGTAGTGGTGGAAACTAAGTAAGTACATAAATGCAAGAACTATACGTGTGTTACAAGTCTGTACTTTATCCAGAACTAACAGATGCACTACTTGAGTGATTGTTAATGCTTGTTTCATTATTATGATAAACATGGAAAAATAAATACAACTTAATCAGAAATATTCAAATATAATACAAAAACTACATGACCTGGATGCACACAAATAAATAATATTTTCTGTCTATTAATTCTCAATTAATTTTATGAATCATTTCTACTCTTAATCTTTAGTTTTTCCACCCCCTCTCATCCTCACCCTTCACCCTCCCTCCCTCTCTCTCCAACTTTCTTTGTGTTTATAAAGACTTTAGCTGGACTTTCATCTGGCCTGGCCTCATTCTCACTGCATATCATTAACATTCTCTCACCACTTTTCAATTCAGAGCTAAGCCAAACCAAAACACTCCCCACTCCCTCTCTCTCTCTTTCTGTGTTTAATGGTTAAGCTTCCCTCCTTCGGTGCTGTGTATACAAAATAATCTTGTGAGCAGTTTTTTTTCTCTCTTTAGCCACGATATGATCATGATTTATTCATATTTGCTGGTTCTCTTGAGTCTGTGTCATACAGGCGATGGTTTTCTCTCTAAACTTTGTTTTCCAGTCATGCTAAACAAAAAAGGGGGACAGAGTTAAGCTGAAATTAGAGGGATAATGAAGAAATCATTGTTAGTTACTATCCATGGTGTTCACCATCTGATTCCCTGAAATTATCCTGCTGATGAGCGCATTCATTCTCAGCTCTTGTTCTCTCACTCCCCAGCGCCTTTCCTTTCTCTTTTCAGCCTTTTCTGTTGTGCACATCGTCCAACTGGCTCAGCTTTGTTCGTCGTCCGGGCAACTGCAAATCCCCTGGCAGAAATAATGACCTTTTTCAGTATTATTTCCTTTCTACCCCGTGCCTCCTCTCTCCTATTCTTTTGTGTCTCACTTTCACTCTTAGTTCCATATTTCACATTTCTTTAGTTTTTCCTTTTTTGACAAAATATGCTCAGTTCCTCCATAGAGTTTTGGTTTGTTGTCACTAAACCCCATTTTTTCCCCTCCTCCTCCTTTGCTATTCAATCTCACTTTGAGTAAAAACCAGTGGAGCATAAAAAGCAGGTCTGATCCTGTGAGGAATTCACTTGGAGAGAGAGAGAGGCGAACAGGGAGAGAGAGAAAGAGAGAAGTTCAAGTTGTGTTACACTTACAAGAAAGCACTTGGTGCAATAGTTAAGGAAAGATAAAGAGAGGGAAAAGGAACAAGTTGTATGAAACATCAATGGTCTGTCAAAAAGAAGAAAAGGGGTTTTCAACAGAGGGAAAAAGTGTGTTAAAAGTTTTTTTGAAACTTTTCTATAAAAGGTTATGCATTCAGCAAAAAATTACCATTTTCATCCAAAGGTTCTATTCAGGAGGGACAGATGATCTATTGCCTTGTCATTTTGAATACATAGCTTGAATTTATCACCTCTCTGACATCACTTTAGTCAAAAAACACAAACATCTAAATTAGAAATGGAAGTGTTCAACTCAAAGACACGGGACAACACACACAAGCACACACACACACAGGCAGCCTGTCCACCCCCTGTCATGGTCTGACAGCTGTGCAGGGCTGCAGGATTCAGTCAACACAGATCAGTTGCAGAATGTGAAGCTTGCAGTATGTTGGGAACCAGCGTAAAACCACATACCGAGCATACTACCCTCTGAAACATCTCTGCCAGTGTCTTTTTCACTGGGAATGTCCAAAAGTAATAAATGTCGCAGATTTGTAATAGTCAACGAAACCCCCAGAGACATACCTTTTACTATGAAATACCTTCTTTTTTCTCATGCATGTGTGACTTCAGGTCCAGGTTTGGGTTCTATATGCACCCGTGTTCCCCCCTAATGTCTGTTTACTGTTACTTGTCTGTGCTCTGTCAGTATCAGTGTCACAGGCCCGGGGCAAGTTGTATTTGGTTGGCTCCTGGAGATGATCTGGAAGGGGTGGAGGGGTCAGGGGGCACAGGGTCAACGTCTGCCCCATGGGGCGGGTTCCTGGTTGGAGGGTCGGAGTGTGCTTCATAGCCCTTGAGCACTCATTTTAGGTGATCAGTGAGGAAAATGTTTCAGCTCCTCTCAGTTTCCAAAGTGCTCTCTGACTTTTCTGTCGACTCTGTTTGTTCCCTGTTGTTTTTCTATTTTTGGATTCAAGATTGTTGATATATTTTCTGGACAAGAGTCTACAGCCATACTAGCAGCTATGTACTTATACATAGTCAGTGTACTACCTGCATTGTGTCCCCAGTTTGGATAAGCAGAGAGTTGTACCAGCACAGAAGGTGATGTACTGCTGTGGAAACACTGACTGCCATCTACTGCATATAACACACTGACTCTGGATAAGTACCTCATTCAGCCCCAACATATTCCTTTGTGTACAGAGTTGCTTTGAGCTAAATGCTAACACACCTTGGTTGACCTTGGTAGTGGGAATGTTGTTGTTAGTTTTGCAGGTGTTTGGACATAAAACAAAGTATTGTACAAACTGAAATTTCGACCCAATGATTGTGCAAAGGGAAAAGTTATTATCATTTATCTCATCATTCTTTTAAAACCAAACATTGCTTATATAAACAGGAAAGTACTTTTATACTTAACAGATTAATATTGCTGGCTGACACCATGCATACACTCTTAAAGATATTTAAGTCTCTGCTGGACAAACTTGATCCCGTCTGGAGTGTCCTTGTAATCACGCAGCTGGATGTGTGTGAAGTGTGATGAGCTCAGTGTTGTCAGGGGAATGTGGGGCGAGAGGGTGAGGTGGGAGGGAGGCTGAGGGGAGGTGGGATTGTTGGGTGTTCCAGATGACCCCTCACACAGTCATGAGTCCCTGGAGACCCTCTCAGCTGTAGCAGTACACTTGTGCCTCCTCTTCCTTGTGTGGGGGGGGGAGACAGACTCTCTTTGGGTGTCAGGTTCTCTCCCCCCTAAGAAATCCCCTGCTATTCATTTGTACACATGCACACACACACACACACACACACACACACACACAAACACACACACACACACACACATCTGACAGTGTGAGGACTACAGCCTCTGCTATGGCATTTGGGAGGCTCCTCTATAACTGTCGCCTTCTGTTCAAACTGTCACTCCAACCCCTCTAGGATTTTACTTCCCTTTTCCTCCCTCCCTCCCTCCCTCGCTCCTCACCTGTCTGAGCCAGCCGTTGAATGAATGGCCTCCCTCTCTTTTCCAGTCTCTCTGCACTACTAACAATAGAGCTTTGAGAATTGTTCACTGCAACCACCTTCGGATGTGCTCTGATCTTCTTTGTCTAGCCCTCCACCCTACTGTCTTTACCAATTATATGTTTAGCCTTTCCACACCACTGCTCTTTAGCTCAAACAGCAGTTTAACTTTGGCTGATCACGGCCTCAAACAGCCATGTCATGTTCCCACTGTCTTTGTGTGTGTGTAAAGACATATAATTATAGCTATCCTTTAATTATTTTAATTAATATTCAAATTGGCCAAAGCTCAAGGGAGAAGAAAAACTGCTAATATACTGGAGTTATTTTGAATGCGTTGCCCGGGGACTTTATCTCCATGGTAACCCAAGTCTGATCAAACACCCCCCCCTCCTTTTTTTTACTGACTGTTGCTGGCTCCTTCCAGTGAGAGTGCATGTTGTGGCGAATTTAAAGGCTCTGAGGACGGGACGGGTGGGTGAGGACGGGACGGGTGGGTGAGGAGGATGGTGGCGGTGATGGTGGGTGGGGGGCTCAAAAGGGTGCGAATGAGTGCCATTGCAATAGAGTGAGAGGTGGTGCTAAAAATACCTATTGACACATGGGCTCCAACTCACAAACAGGGTCACAGACAAACACACAAGCCAGTGACCAAAGAGGTCTCATTCATGCACCGTCAAGCAGAGAGAAACACACACAGAAACATATGCATG